TTATAAAAATAAATTTGAATCTTTCATTACAAAGCAAGGGTGTGATGCTATGATATTAAGAAAAAAATAATGTGAAAATTCTAAGTTTTCATTTGATTTAACAAACTTTCGACTGCATAGCAACCAAAAAATTAAACTATACCAAAACGAAATCCTTTGTTTGACCATCTTCTTGAAAAAATTTTGAAAATACTTTTGATGATTAAAAGAGAGGGGATCTCTGTGGGTTTTTTTTTTTTTTTTTTTTGCAATTTTTACTCAAACAGACAATTTTTTCCAAGGTCAAGAACCAGCTGAAATATTTACTTTCGGGTGCCAAAAATCTGGGAAAGTGGTCACCAAGTCAGAATTCACAAATTTGAAATTTTGGGGTTGTGGTGATAACTCATGGCAAATTAAGTTGAATCTTCACAAGATTTCCAACGTTTTCTTCAAAATGTTATATAAATCACCTGTTTTCAAGTAGTGAGTACTAGTATAGGTGAAAAAGAATAGGAAAAGAAAAAATTCCAAAATTGTTGGAATTCATTTTATATTGAATTATGTCTTTCTTCTGGTCAAAACATCAGAGAAGTACATCTTCACAATACATATGTAAACTTACTATAACTTAACATTACATTTAAAGAATTTTAATATTTGTATTTCAGAATTGTCTTCATATGGTCAAGATCAAAACTTGAGTTGTTATATATATGACTGTATAGATAATCTTCTAAACCAATCAGAATATCACAATTACAGAAATGGAGTTTGCTGAAGTTCTCACATGGCTTCTAAATATAGAAAATGTCTTGATCTGACAAGCATTTTGCTCCTGCGGAGGACTACAAAGTGCTTGATAGTAAATCACCTAAAACCATTTTCCATGTTACAAATCACTTTTTTTTTAAACAGACCCAAATTAAAAACTTTTAAAAGAATATGACCAATACCTTTTATGAATACATATCTTGACCTGTATGTGGTAAGATAACCTAAGGATTTTTGCTAGAGTGTCTTCAAATCACCTAATTTTTTCGGGTCAACATAATTGCAGCCATAACATAACCTGCTTAAGTCGTTAAAAAATAGTGGAGTCCAAGATATTTCATTTTTAAATTTATTTTGGACACTAATATTTCCAAAATGATGTTAAAAAATAACATAGAATATTGTCTAAATACATACAAATCTATACACTATAATCAACGCCATCTTTTCCCTGATATCCTGATAAAACACACATTCAACCTTGGATTTGGAGAAAGATGTGAGGTTGGTGACACTACTAGAAGACTTGTGGAAGGGTTACAGTATGGTACATAGCTTTTAGTTTTGTTTCCACTTGGAGAACTATAAAATTTCTGCAGTAAATCATCATATACTGTGATGTAGAAACATTTCCTTTAGCATAATGCTGTCTTTTATAATTAGTGTGTTGTAGACAGCAATAAATTATTTTCCCCTGTATACAAATTTTCTATTTCTGTATAAACCCAATTTTTTCTGAAGAACCAGGCAAACTAGAACCAACTTTATTTTACAAATTTTGTATATTTTTTTTTAGACTTTAGGTATAAAATGTTACACTGAAGGTTAATTATAAATCTTGTGATATTACACTGCTACGTTAGAATTACATTGTATAGGGTAATACCTGCATCAATAAAAATAAACAAAAAAAATGACCTGACCTATAATATGATGTTAAATTAGATACATAGAACAATACCTGCAATAACAAAATAAATAAAATAAAAAAAAGAGCCATGACCCCGACGTGATTTGAACACGCAACCTTCTGATCTGGAGTCAGACGCGCTACCGTTGCGCCACGGAGTCCTGTATACATAAACATGATCTTTATTCGATCAGTTCACTAGCGTACATGACAGTATGGCTTTAAATAGGTCTTCGTCATGAATTATTTTATAAAGTGATAATATCATTTATTGATAATAATAATGTATTCAAATTATTACTGTCAGTAAGGTTTCTTTATGTAGAAGTCCGTCATATTCTTAATCAATGCGGAAATAGCATTAAAAGGTCATTATACAGGATAAATAGTTAGGTGGGCGGGGCACTCTCCATACGGTTCCGGCAAATCTGAGTTCGTGATATCAGCGCATTATATATAATGTGGAGCATTTTATAGCTAGATATAGCAAAACATTCAGGTTACACTTTAACAAACAAGTTTCTCGGTCGATCGCACCATTCGTTTTATCTTTTGTCGTTTATGCTAACAGGCCCTGTAACCGCGCCCACCAATTAACACGTTCCTAAAATCGTCCGGGATATAGGACAGTGTAACGTATGCGTGTGTACTATGAACTATGCGTGGAAAAGTATTCACGGTTAGAAAAGAAATTAACGTATAGCAATGGGGAACAAGCATGAATTATGATGCAAAACAAGTTTATGTGTTATCGGTTAGACTCTGTGGTATTTGACATATACGGGTCTATCAGTTGACTTGTCTAGTGAATATAGCATATATTATATTAAAGCAAATTTAAAGTCAGATACAGTTGGGTCACACGATAAATTAAACTAAGCCATACAGCTTCTTTTTCCTTGTAAATTTTTGACACAAACAGTCGAAAAAAATGGTTTACCTGATGTAATTTAAGTCTGAAATGCAAAAAAAAAAAATGGAACTATTGTTACAATAGATTAATATAATGTATTGTTACTGTTGTCAGAGACGTATATGTGTTATATATGTCTCTGCTATTGTATATTTCTGTCTGGTGTAGAGGATGTTAGATGATCCTGTACTAGTAATAAATCTAACTATAATGACAGAGTGTGTGTTTAAATGCATCTCTACTGCTAGTTATTTTTTCTCAGTATTTGGTAGGCCTAGCTGATGTTGGCAAACGGTGTATCAGTACTGGAAGGCCTAGCTGATGTTGTCAAATGTTGTATCAGTACTGGAAGGCCTAGCTGATGTTGTCAAATGTTGTATCAGTACTGGAAGGCCTAGCTGATGTTGGCAAATGATGTAACTGTGCAAGTTTTTACTTTTGCTTCAGTACTGGTAGTTACATTGTGATTTTGCCTCAGTACCGGAAGTTACATTGTGATTTTGCCTCAGTACCAGAAGTTACATTGTGATTTTGCCTCAGTACCGGTAGTGACATTGTTATTTTGCCTCAGTACCGGTAGTGACATTGTTATTTTGCCTCAGTACCGGAAGTTACATTGTAACTTTGCCTCAGTACCGGTAGTGACATTGTTATTTTGCCTCAGTACCGGAAGTTACATTGTAACTTTGCCTCAGTACCGGTAGTGACATTGTTATTTTGCCTCAGTACCGGAAGCTACATTGTAATTTTGCCTCAGTACTGGTAGTTACATTGTGATTTTGCCTCAGTAGCGGAAGTTACATTGTGATTTTGCCTCAGTACCAGAAGTTACATTGTGATTTTGCCTCAGTACCGGTAGTGACGTTGTTATTTTGCCTCAGTACCGGTAGTGACATTGTTATCTTCCTCAGTACCGGAAGTTACATTGTAACTTTGCCTCAGTACCGGTAGTGACATTGTTATTTTGCCTCAGTACCGGAAGTTACATTGTAACTTTGCCTCAGTACCGGAAGTTACATTGTAACTTTGCCTCAGTACCGGTAGTGACATTGTTATTTTGCCTCAGTACCGGAAGCTACATTGTAATTTTGCCTCAGTACTGGTAGTTACATTGTGATTTTGCCTCAGTACCGGAAGTTACATTGTGATTTTGCCCCAGTACCGGAAGTTACATTGTGATTTTGCCTCAGTACCGATAGTCAATTAACATTTCTGAAATCGCTTCATCTAAACTAAACGAAAAGAATTATACGTCTAACCAAATTGGAACAGCATCCTAACATTCTTAGGAAGGAGAGCTTTAGTTAAAATTTGCCTAAATGTTTCAACAAAATCTTTAACAGGAAATATGGCGATGGAAAACAATATGATTCGTAGACTATGACCAAATCTACTTAAGATTGACAAAATGTCCTATTTCCGACAAGGTGCTTTAAATACATATTAGAGACTTGATAAGGGATTTTCGGTAACATTAAAATAAGCTGTGTCTGAAGTAGTTGTTTAGCTGTACAGAGGTTAAAGGAAATAACAACACAAGGAATTCATAACTTAATATCGTTTATTATCAATAATGTCTACATGTTTATGATTTTCGAAGAAGAGGGGAAATTGTTCAAACTCCAGACGTATGAAACAAACTACAGCAGACTGGTCTATTGGCAGCATTTGAAAACACTGGTATTTAATGGTGTTGTGTTTTTGTCACCTCTGCCGGACATATCTATTAATTTACTTCATTTTTTTTCTTATAACTCCTGCAAATGCCTAAACTATTTTGTCACAACGATTGTCCCCATAGCAACCAGTGCCTTGTATATGGGCTAGTTGTTTAGAGACACCAGAAGAGTGAGTACACAAAGTAAACACACATACTCAAGTCTTTCTTATTTAACAAGACACAAGCTATTTTTTCCTTTATCTATGATGTACTGTTGTACATTTTACTAACTATCATTCCTTTGTGATAACATTGGTGCCGGCTTCCTTTGTCCTGATTATAAAAATGACCTAAGTTGTATCATTGTTAGAACTATGTCATTACAGCTCAAACTGACTGTGACATGTAAACGCGATAAGCTGGGGAAGGAGGTATGTTACTACACAGAAATGGAAAATCAGCAATTGAGAAATTCGGCATCATCGCGTTTATCACACAGCTTGTTGGGGAGGTGTCACTATCGTCACAGTAATAGACTATGTGAGTAAACATTGTTTTATAAGAGTTTAACAATAGTGCTGGTTGTGTCTATATTTTATGTAGACACGTGGAAATGTTAGTTTTATGTCTTGTAACACAAAGTGCTGCTGTAGTAAAAACATTAAATGTTTATCCACTTTTCTGAGGGTTTCTTCTTGATAACCGGAATTTTGTTTGTGAGAATATGAAACTATCTAAAAGTGTGTCACATCTCGGTTCCAACTTCAAAACTGTTCTTGAAACATCTCGACGAATTCTGCGAAAAAAAGAGAATAAAAGTTAAAGATGAACAGAAAATAAGGTATATTACACTCACTAATCTTATGAAACCCCGAATGCACATTTAAAGATTGAAATACATCATCAATTCCCTCCTAATCGTTTTGAACTGTTTATTGAACTTGTCATATCGCTGTATATTTCATCACTAGTATTTCAGCTACATTGTACACATTTTGGGAAGGTTGTGTAGGGGTGACGTAGGAGTTGATACACGTATTTGGGAAGGTTATTAGGGGTGACGTAGGAGTTGATACACGTATTTGGGAAGGTTATTTAGGGGTGACGTAGGAGATGATAGATGTATTTGTGAAGGTTATTTAGGGGTGACGTAGGAGTTGATACACGTATTTGGGAAGGTCGTTTAGGGGTGACGTAGGAATTGATACACGTATTTGGGAAGGTCGTTTAGGGATGACGTAGGAGTTGATACACGTATTTGGGAAGGTTATTTAGGGGTGACGTAGAAGATGATAGATGTATTTGTGAAGGTTATTTAGGGGTGACGTAGGATTTGATACACGTATTTGGGAAGGTTATTTAGGGGTGACGTAGGAGTTGATACACGTATTTTAGAAGGTTGTTTAGTGGTGACGTAGGAGTTGATAAATGTATTTCGGAGGGTTGTGATGGGATGACGTATGAGTTGATGTTCGGGAGGCTTGTGAAAGGGGGGGGGGACGTAGGAGTTGCTGTTTGGGAGGGTTGTGATGGGGTGACGTAGAAGTTGATGTTTGAAAACAGAAACCGGAGATCCTAAAAAAACGGAAGTGTTTATACCTTCGTAATTCAGTTTGCCGTCACTGTTGCGGTCTGCCAAAAGGAACATTTCGTTTACATCAGCTATATCCATCTTATCACCAGTTTTACAAAGAGCCTTTTGGAGTTCTTCTGGACTTATAGTACCGTCGCCATCTTTGTCAAACTTTTTAAAAGAACCTCGAAGTAACTGTTTTTCATACTCCATAGCAGAAAGGCGTTTTCTCATCATATTTTCATATTCCTCGTATTCAATACGACCATTTCCTAAAATAGGGAAATAAAACCCTGTTATCTCGAAGTCGGCGAGAAACTGGGACAACTTTGAGTTATCCGTTTAATCGAGTTCACCGAGTTCGAATGCTTGTTTTGTGGCTTGGGCGGCAGACGATATACTTCAGTTAAACGGGATTTTCGATCTATTTGAGTTCGAGGTAACGAGGTTTGAATGTAAAAAACAAGAATAAAAATTCTTAATGCTGAACCGATTCATAAAGTGACATCATTATTGTACCATTTTACTATTCATGAATATGTAGCACTTCTGAAATTATATATGAAACGGTACTCCTTGTTGTGTAACATATGAATTTTAAAGTGTTTTTAAATTTGTGGCGTTATATTGTGTTATAGTAGATTTACTGCCTAATGGTATGAGGTGACTACATCGAGACTACATGGGGAAAACTCTGAAAGGTTTTGTATTTCTTTGGCCTAGAAAGACCAAACAGCTGTTTGATTTTAATTACATAAAATGTATTTACAAACCATTTTCGTCAATATCACTAATCATTTCAACAGCTTCCGACCAGGTAGGATTGAAGCCAAGGACTTGTACGCCTTTATAGATTTCCTCCGGACAAAGTCGACCGTTGCTGTCCTTGTCTAGGGACTCAAAGGACCTCCGGATAGCTGCGCAGAATACATGGAGATATAGTCACACCGATGAATGGTGTACAATGGCAGAGAAAAAAACGTGAGAGAAAGAAAAGTAAATTATTTAAAACATTACCCTGACTAAAAATGAGTTAATGAGAATACAAAATAGATACCAGTGATGTTTTGATTAGTTGTTTTAGCGATAAAATGAAGTGTGTTTTAAGATGTAACTGATTGAGCTTTTAGTAACTTTTAGTTTTTTATGATATGACTACTTAAGATGTTTAGAAAGATGTGAGATTTAGATGTGACTGATTAAGATGCTTATAACGATGTGTGTGTTTAGATGTGACTGATTAAGATGTTTATAACGATGTGTGATTTAGATGTGACTGATTAAGATGTTTATAACGATGTGTGTGTTTAGATGTGACTGATTTAGATGTTTATAACGATGTGTGTGTTTAGATGTGACTGATTTAGATGTTTATAACGATGTGTGTGTTTTAGATGCGACTGATTAAGATGTTTATAACGATGTGTGTTTTAGATGCGACTGATTAAGATCTTTATAACGATGTGTGTTTTAGATGTGACTGATTAAGATGCTTATAACGATGTGTGTTTTAGATGTGACTGATTAAGATGTTTATAACGATGTGTGTGTTTTAGATGTGACTGATTAAGATGTTTATAACGATGTGTGTGTTTAGATGTGACTGATTAAGATGCTTATAACGATGTGTGTGTTTAGATGTGACTGATTAAGATGTTTATAACGATGTGTGATTTAAATGTGACTGATTAAGATGTTTATAACGGTGTGTGTGTTTAGATGTGACTGATTAAGATGTTTATAACGATGTGTGATTTAGATGTGACTGATTAAGATGTTTATAACGATGTGTGTGTTTAGATGTGGCTCATTAAGATGTTTATAACGATGTGTGTGTTTAATTTTGACTGATCAAGATGTTTATAACGATGTGTGTGTTTTAGATGTGACTGATTTAGATGTTTATAACGATGTGTGTGTTTTAGATGTGACTGATTTAGATGTTTATAACGATGTGTGTGTTTAGATGTGACTGATTTAGATGTTTATAACAATGTGTGTGTTCAGATGTGACTGATTAAGATGTTTATAACGATGTGTGTTTTGTATGAGACTGATTTAGATGTTTATAACAATGTGTGTGTTCAGATGTGACTGATTAAGATATTTATAACGATGTGTGTGTTTAGATGTGGCTGATTAAGATGCTTATAACGATGTGTGTGTTTAGATATGACTGATTAAGATGTTTTTAACGATGTGTTATTACAATGTGACTGATTAAGATGTTTATAACGATGTGTGTGTTTTAGATGTGACTGATTTAGATGTTTAAAACGATGTGTGTGTTTTAGATGCGACTGATTTAAATGTTTATAACGATGTGTGTGTTTAGATGTGACTGATTTAGATGTTTAAAACGATGTGTGTGTTTTAGATGTGACTGATTTAGATGTTTATAACGATGTGTGTGTTTAGATGTGACTGATTAAGATGTTGATAAGAAGGCATGATTTAGAGGTGACTAAGACAATGCCGAACCCTAGGCGTTACTGATTTTTCTATATCAAAATTGAAGACGACGAAAATATTACAACTGACCTATTTTGTCCTCCTCTGTCAATTCTTTTCCTTCTCGCTTCCGTATCCCCTTCCCTTGCCGTTCTGCTGCCATTGCTGTTGATATTATCTATATAAATAATAAATAAATAATATTTTTTTTTATATTATTTTATCAAAGTTTATATAAACAAGAAAAAACAGGTACATTTACTACATCTTGATATAATTCGCTGTCAAAATGTATGATCCCATCCTGACATAAAGTATACCAGCCGATTTCGAATATCGAAGCCTTCAAAAAAGAATGTTTTAATCCTTTGTAAAGGTGGGGTGAACATTTGGCCCCCAAATAGATTTCTATTATTTTTTCGCCATATGTAGATACACGAAAATAACCTACAACCGCATAAATGATTAGGCATTTTAACTACTTATAGTCATACTGGACCTCCTTGTATAACACCAAGTGGAGTCATTATAACTACCTATAGTCACACTGGACCTCCTTGTATAACACCAGGATGAGTGACAAAGGTACCCAAACATAATGACAAATGCTTGCTACATGAGAATTTTAAATGAAAATATTTATATACCAGCCTAAAGTACACAAAATCTTCGTTATTTTGATACCACATATGTTATATTGGCATAAAAATGTAAGCATACATGTAGTTTAAAAACGAACTAGATAAGTATACCCTTGTATCGATGTATAATTAGTTTACACACAAACTAGATAATTACGTCAGGATATATATGAAATCAATTCTAACATTCCTACTAGCATTTACCTTTTAAACAACAAAAAAAACTGGTCAAACACAATTCTGCCCTGGTTCCGTCCAGTTAATGTCCAGCGCACGTGGCAGTTGCTCTGTGTAAGATTCTCTGTTTGGTCGATTTTGACAGGAGGACAACAGGTAAGTATATGTGTTTAACCTTTGAATGCAATGAATGGATCTAATATTGACCTGGCTTGGATTAAAGGTAAGATCCTAGACAGCTTAATACAAAGCAACACGTTAGTAATTGTGTCTATATATACATGTTAGACTCCGTTTAAATCTGTGTGATCTATGTACGTGAATTGAAAACATAAGTATATAATAACTAAATGAACAGAGTCAATATAAACGGATTTTAGCGTGTGGACAAGGCATTATGTGTAACTGTTTAAGGAATCATGGCTGAAATTGCTCGTCCTACATATAAAGGCCGACTAATTTGGATGTCAGTCCAGTTTCTAAGGATTTTTTCCGTTGGAAGTGTTTTCGGTTCTGTTTTATCATTTATTTTATACGACATTCCTTATTTAATCCTTTTAAATATTATATCATTTTCAAAGATACTCACTGTCTTATAGAGGACGAACTTTGAGAACTTCATGAAAAAAATTACAAACGTCTTTCTATTGTAAATAGAATTTGATTTCTCTTTTTTTAAACCAATTGGGTTCGACTTAAAATATGTAATTTGTGTATCGCTTCCAATTTTAATTATTGTTCTTTTTTAATCAAGGAGTGTTCGAAAAATGAAAAAGACACAAAAAGAAAGTGCACCAGTATATATTATTGATGGCTATATCTCATCCTTTCCTCTATGGCATACTGGGTTGTACCTTATGTGATAGCTAACACGTAACACGTCTGAAGGACAAGAACTATGTATTTTAACACTAAAAAGTTTACACCTGAATGTCTTGATAACGTTATCGACATTAAAATTTCTAGGTAAGACACCATGGATTTACAACAGAAGTTAAAATTTATTTTGAGGCCTCCCCGGTTCGCAAGTCTCAAGAAAGACATTCGAATGAAAACATTTCAAGGGCCTGATGGGCCACTCCTTGGACGGTCCGATCTACCATTTCAATGTAACGGCAATGTGTACCCTCTTCCTGAGTGACTTTATTTTTTTTTCCTTTGTGATACTGCTAATTTGATATAATAATGCTTTGTTGCAGTGGACAGAGACTATTGGTTTGGTAAGGAAGGACTGCCCAGTTATATCCTACATTTTTATTGTATTTTTGTAACACTGTCTACATATATTTTCAAAATTAACGCACTTCTGTCATTTTTATTAAATCCGTGCTATATTAACACTATTTATTTCTACACATTGCTTTGATAGCCTTATTTTATGTACCTACATTGGTCGCGCGTGAATAATGACTCCCAAGGGCTATTATCATACATTTACTATTTTATTCTCTATACTTTTCTATAACGAATAAAGCATCAAATTCCTGATATTTGCTCCAGAACAATGGTTACCGGTCAAATTCTTGATGTTAACTGCTTACGTCACAGCTCATTATTGTTCGGTACTTTCCAAATGAGAACAAGATTGACAACAACGGAATCAAGATACATCTTTTAGAACCCTGTGTTACGAGTTTGTCCGTAATATCTGACCTGTAGTCTATCTAACAGTGTATCTGACCTGTAGTCTATCTAACAGTGTATCTGACCTGTAGTCTATCTAACAGTGTATCTGACCTGTAGTCTATCTAACAATGTATCTGACCTGTAGTCTATCTAACAGTGTATCTGACTGTAGTCTATCTAACAGTGTATCTGACCTGTAGTCTATCTCACAGTGTATCTGACCTGTAGTCTATCTAACAGTGTATCTGACCTGTAGTCTAACCTGTAGTCTAGTCATCTGACCTGTAATCAGTGTATCTGACCTGTAGTGTATCTATAGTCTAACAGTGTATCTGACCTGTAGTCTATCTCACAGTGTATCTGACCTGTAGTCTATCGAACAGAGAATCTGACCTGTAGTCTAACAGTGTATCTGACCTGTAGTCTATCTAACAGTGTATCTGACCTGTAGTCTATCTAACAGTGTATCTGACCTGTAGTCTATCTAACAGTGTATCTGACCTGTAGTCTATCTAACAGTGTATCTGACCTGTAGTCTATCTAACAGTGTATCTGACCTGTAGTCTATCTAACAGTGTATCTGACCTGTAGTCTATCTAACAGTGTATCTGACCTGTAGTCTAACAGTGTATCTGACCTGTAGTCTATCTAACAGTGTATCTGACCTGTAGTCTATCTAACAGTGTATCTGACCTGTAGTCTATCTAACAGTGTATCTGACCTGTAGTCTATCTGACAGTGTATCTGACCTGTAGTCTATCTAACAATGTATCTGACCTGTAGTCTATCTAACAGTGTATCTGACCTGTAGTCTATCTAACAGTGTATCTGACCTGTAGTCTATCTAACAGTGTATCTGACCTGTAGTCTAACAGTGTATCTGACCTGTAGTCTATCTAACAGTGTATCTGACCTGTAGTCTATCTAACAGTGTATCTGACCTGTAGTCTATCTAACAGTGTATCTGACCTGTAGTCTATCTAACAGTGTATCTGACCTGTAGTCTATCTAACAGTGTATCTGACCTGTAGTCTATCTACAGTGTATCTGACTTGTAGTCTATCTAACATTGTATCTGACCTGTAGTCTAACAGTGTATCTGTCCTGTAGTCTATCTAACAGTGTATCTTACAGTGTATCTGACCTGTAGTCTATCTAACAGTGTATCTGACCTGTAGTCTATCTAACAGTGTATCTGACCTGTAGTCTATCTAACAGTGTATCTGACCTGTAGTCTATCTAACAGTGTATCTGACCTGTAGTCTATCTAACAGTGTATCTGACCTGTAGTCTATCTAACAGTGTATCTGACCTGTAGTCTATCTAACAGTGTATCTGACCTGTAGTCTAACAGTGTATCTGACCTGTAGTCTATCTAACAGTGTATCTGACCTGTAGTCTATCTAACAGTGTATCTGACCTGTAGTCTATCTAACAGTGTATCTGACCTGTAGTCTATCTCACAGTGTATCTGAGCTGTAGTCTATCTAACAGTGTATCTGACCTGTAGTCTATCTAACAGTGTATCTGACCTGTAGTCTATTTAACAATGTATCTGACCTGTAGTCTATCTAACAGTGTATCTGACCTGTAGTCTATCTAACAGTGTATCTGACCTGTAGTCTATCTAACAGTGTATCTGACCTGTAGTCTATCTAACAGTGTATCTGACCTGTAGTCTATCTAACAGTGTATCTGACCTGTAGTCTATCTAACAGTGTATCTGACCTGTAGTCTATCTAACAGTGTATCTGACCTGTAGTCTATCTAACAGTGTATCTGACCTGTAGTCTATCTAACAGTGTATCTGACCTGTAGTCTATCTAACAGTGTATCTGACCTGTAGTCTATCTAACAGTGTATCTGACCTGTAGTCTATCTAACAGTGTATCTGACCTGTAGTCTATCTAACAGTGTATCTGACCTGTAGTCTATCTAACAGTGTATCTGACCTGTAGTCTATCTAACAGTGTATCTGACCTGTAGTCTATCTGTAGTCTATCTAACAGTGTATCTGACCTGTAGTCTATCTAACAGTGTATCTGACCTGTAGTCTATCTAACAGTGTATCTGACCTGTAGTCTATCTAACAGTGTATCTGACCTGTAGTCTATCTAACAGTGTATCTGACCTGTAGTCTATCTAACAGTGTATCTGACCTGTAGTCTATCTAACAGTGTATCTGACTGTAGTCTATCTAACAGTGTATCTGACCTGTAGTCTATCTAACAGTGTATCTGACCTGTAGTCTATCTAACAGTGTATCTGACCTGTAGTCTATCTAACAGTGTATCTGACCTGTAGTCTATCTAACAGTGTATCTGACCTGTAGTCTATCTAACAGTGTATCTGACCTGTAGTCTATCTAACATTGTATCTGACCTGTAGTCTATCTAACAGTGTATCTGACCTGTAGTCTATCTAACAGTGTATCTTACCTGTAGTCTATCTAACAGTGTATCTGACCTGTAGTCTATCTAACAGTGTATCTGACCTGTAGTCTATCTAACAATGTATCTGACCTGTAGTCTATTTAACAGTGTATCTGACCTGTAGTCTATCTAACAGTGTATCTGACCTGTAGTCTATCTAACAGTGTATCTGACCTGTAGTCTATCTAACAGTGTATCTGATCTGTAGTCTATCTAACAGTGTATCTGACCTGTAGTCTATCTAACAGTGTATCTGACCTGTAGTCTATCTAACAGTGTATCTGACA